GAGGACCCGCTGTGGGAGAGACCCGTGAAAGCTTTGAAGCTGCTCTCCATAGGGTGTCCCTTTAAACCTTACACCCTGCTGCAGTGGGGTAGAGGAAGCAAAGATGGGGAGGGGAGGGGGTTGAGTTCCTTCTGAAGGTTTTACGAGCTCCAAGTCTGACCTGCCCTTCTGTCAATTATCCCTGCAATCGCCTCCCTGCCCCAGGCAGCGAGAGCCGGTTCATTCCTTTTCTTATCCTGACGTTAGCTCGAGGCTGGGGGAACCACATCCTTCACAGAGAAGGCAGTAATGTCCGTGAAAGGGCTGGCCTGGAAGACAACTGGAATCCCAAGGCCCAAGAAGCCTGCGAGGCCACCTTCCTGCCAGCCCCTCTGACCAGAAGGAGTGACCAGAGCATCCGAGGGAGTTCTGGAGTGGACCATTGGCTCGGCTGAACTGCGCCCAAGCTCAGGACAGGGCAAAGGCGTCCCTGCCTGGTGAGACTAGACCTAGCATCTGCCAAAAACTTGTTTTGTGGTATTAGCAGGCTCCTTCTTTCTCAGCATCAAGCACAGCCTCCTGCCCTCAGTCACAAAATTAACAGGCCTGCCAAAGCGGGGGGGGGGGGGTGTCTTGTGAGAAGGGATTCAGAGCTGCTTCCACATTGGGCAGAGCGGACCTCCCAAGCAGGTGATGAAGGATGCGGCAGGGTTTGAGCCTCCCTGTTGCTCACCCCCATCTCTTAGAGGTGTACAGGAGCCCTTTGATCCTTGAATGGTCACAGCCTGGCAGACGTGACCTCCACGGATCGGTATAACCCTTTTTCCTGCTGAAAGCTGATTAGTAGCCTATCTACCATTATCACATCTTGCGGTTGTGAAATCCTTAAAGTAATTATAGTTGTGTGAAATCTTCCTTCTTCTTCCCCTCTGAAACTCCTGGGAACTTCAAGCTGTGCCTGAAACTCTATGAATCCTGACCAAGACTGGTGGCTTCTTCCAGTCAATGTCCTCCTCTCATCACTTTTCACACACCATGTCATAGGAGATTTTAGTGACATTGTATTGTTGTCACCACATTTTTTTTCTTACTGGCACACTGAAACCTTTTGAGCCGAGTAGATAATTTAGAGTGAATCAAGCCATGTGAGAAGAACATTTTTTTAAATGAATGGAATTTATGGAATGCGCTGACATTTCTCAAATATGCTGGGAGACATTTGAATATTCAGGGTCACTGGTTTCTCTGTCCCTGTGAGTAATACAGAGATCAACCTTTTTATTTTACTTTTCCTTCAGGCGCAGATCTTTTTCTGCATGCTGCTTTCTTTTCTTTCAACTCTTTCTGATAGCTCATTATTAAATGATAATAATAGTTAAAAATGCATAATTTTAACATCCCTGGACAGATTCCAACAGCCAAACAGCAGTTTGCAAGCCAAGATATCGCCTGGCTCCTCTCTCAGGGGTTCTTCCCTTCATATGAAGAGAAATTCCAGAGATCCCTGGAGGGCAGGATTTGCCCATTCCATGCAAGGCCCACAGCTTCTGTCTTCGCTGCCTGCAAGAAATGGAGGATAGAACTATAAATCAGTTAAACATTCTTAAAACAAAACTTTATTCTGCAATTTAACTTTAAAAGGGCAGAATTTGGTTTCACCTGCTCAGCATTAAGACGAGTGGTCCCAATCCTAAAGAAGCAAAGCAGCGGGCATCCCGGATTGAGTGGCGCGGCGTGTCGTTTGGGATGCCGAGTCGTGCCTGGCAGAGCCTGGTGGAGGTTAGTGTGACTCGGCAGAGCCTGCAGGAGCTCGTTGGAGGCTGATGGAGCCGGGCTGCACGGCTGAGTGGCGCAGTGAACACCAGAGTAAGTAGCCTGGGGCGAGCGATGCAGCAAGTCCCCCGAAGGGAGGCCTGGTCTGCAGTGGCCTGGAGAACAGCCGAAGTAGGGCTGGGACAGTTCAAAAGACCGGAGGTTTACTGGACTGGCGCTGGAGTAATAGTGGTACCTTGAACGGGACTGGGCACATTAGCCGAAGAATTGGTGGCAATGGCCCAAGGCCTGGAAATCGGCCAGAGACTCGGTCTGGGGCAGCCTAGGTTGTCAACTTGATTGGCCCCTATAGCCTATGCAGACAGGGCAGAGGTGGGTGGGGGTCCCTCCTGTGTGTGAGAGTTTGGGTTGCCCCTCCCTAGTGTGAGAGACAGGGAGGGGAGCCCAAGGGTGAATGTTAGAGTGCGAATGAGGGTGTGAGTGTTGTGAGGATACTTGCCCCCCGCAAGTGAGAGTCGGGGAGGGAGGGGAAGTGGATTGCGTACCTCCTGCCAGCTAGTGAGAGAGGCTGGTGAAGGGGGCACAGTGGGCAGTAGTGGGTGAACTGGGTGAGGGTTAGGGCTCTGATGGCACTGAGAGCAGTAGCTGAAGTGCTGAGGAGCCCACCACCACTCTTTGACTGACCGAGGTGTGTGTTGGTGCATGGCTGGATGGAGAGCCCCCTAACCAGGGAAACCGGAGGCTGGAGATTGGGGGGAAGTGGAGGCTCTGGCATGGTTAGGGCGGGTTACACTATGCAGGTGGTGACGGGCAGGGAATGTTATGATGGGAGTCAGAGGGTGGGCTGCTCTCGGGGAAGGCGCCCCTGGTGTTTGCTACCGGTGGCGTGTTCCAGCCCTCTGGACTCAGACCCAGGCCCCGGACAGCAGATCCACGGTGGCCCTGGCTTTCGGCTGCTGCTTCTTAACTGCCAGGTCAGTTAACAACAAGGCCCCCCTTATATATGATCTGATCACTGAGAAGTGGGCCAACCTGGCATGTATTACTGAGACCTGACTGGGCCCTGGAGGGGGGGTGCCTCTTTCACAAATGTGCCCAGCCAGGTTTACAGTTTGGCACCAGCCGAGACCCCAGGGCAGGGGAGGAAGGGTAATGGTTGTCATCTGGGACTCTCTATTGGCCTTCAGGGGTGCTGGCCCACAAGTGGCCAGTTGTGAGACCCTCTTTCTTAGGTTGGGCTCTTGAGAACAGGTGGGGTTGTTGCTGCTGTACCAGCCTCCCTGCTGCATGGCAACCTCCCTTCCTGAGCTGCTGGAGGCTGTCGCGGGGCTGGCGGTGGAGTTCCCCACACTTATGGTTCTGGGGGACTTCAATCTGCCATCCCTGGGACATGCCTCGAAGATGGCCCGGGAGTTCATGGCCACCCTGGCAGCCAGGGGCCTGTCCCAGATTATTCACGACCTGACTCAGGACAGTGGTCTCTCACCGGACTTGGTTTTCTTGTCAGAGCAGTGGCAATGTGATCTGAAGGGGGAATTACATCT